TCTTTTCATAATAGGTGGAAAAAACGGAAAGAACTTTCGGAACGACCTAATATTAGGTGGGCCCGGAAGTTCTGTCGCACCATTTTCAAAAATTCATAACTTCTGATTTTTGCAACCGATTTGACTGCTTTTATTTTTGTAAGAAAGAATAAGTCATGCTTTTTGCAGCGACATTTTCGCTGCTTACTAATGATCGTCTATTGCATAGATAGGAGCGATAGAAGGAAACTAGTCAAAATTTGAATTTTCTGTGTAGGGTCACAAAAAATCGGAAACTTGCAACAAAACTCGGAGCAGTCGGTATTGTAGGTTTTTTCACCAGCTCTTTCTGACAGTGCAAAGTTTGCTCCGATTGATTGAAAAATGCCAAAATAAATCAAATTCGCCCTTTTGTATTGCTTGCTCGAAAACCATAACTTTTCATAGAGTAGCTCAATCGGAACAAACTTTGCACTGTTAGAAAGAGCTGGTGAAAGAATCTACAATACCGACTGCTCCGATTTTTGTTGCAGGTTTCCGATTTTTTATGACCCTACACAGAAAATTCAAATTTAGAGTGATTTTGGTTTTGAGCTTCTATCTATGCAACAGATGACCATTATTTAAGCAGCTAAGATGTGTCGTTATAATAAGCATGACTTACTCTTTCAATAAAAATAAAAGCAGTCAAATCGGTTGCAAAAATCAGAAGTCATGAACTTTTGAAAATGGTGCGACAGAACTTTCGGGCCAACCTAATATTTATGTTCCATATAACTCTCAAATTTTTCAAAGATGAGTTCATAGTAGATCTGCGGTGAAGTCGAATTCTCGGGTCGAGATCGTGTAGCAATCTTCTCTAAGATATGCTCACATACCGCATTCACTTTTTGAGATCCGAATTTACTGGGCTATGCTTCTTCCTCTACTTGACCACAGTATTTTTTTTGAATGAACTCGTTATGTTACAAACTCCTTTTCACTTCCACCTTTCAATATAATTTACTAGGTTAGATGAGCCTATCTCACGCTTTACACAGCTAAACTTTTACGATCATGCATTTAGCAAGCATTCTCATCACTGCTATAAATCCTCAGTACAATTTTACGCCCTTGCATTGAGTTTCTCGACACCCCCTACTTCTAAAATGACCCAAGATCACAATAAAATACATTATTTGAGCTCCTTTCTACTCTACGTTGAGTTGAAGCTGTAGAGTCAGCACTCGACTTGCTTACGCGGCGCATCTTCCTTCTACTTGCCTTTGAAAGACTATTTGCAAGAACTGAAAATCTTTTTCGCTCCGCGTTTGCGGGCACCTGCCACAAAACCTCCTCCTTCACACTTTTAGCCTGTACCAGGGCCTGTAGTAATCCCCCGGACCTGTCGGCAGGTCCCGTCGGCAGTTGCCGGCGCCTTCCCGTGAGGTGGCCAGAAACTAAGAAACCTCCATCGAAATCGGCTCCAGAAATTCTTCTGTAGGAAAATATCTGGAAGCGCGGCAGGAGCTGCCGGCAACTTCACGAGGTCAGTAGCCGGCAACCTGCCAGCAGCTCTTCGATATCCGCGAGGTGGCAGTTGGCGGCAGATCAGAGAGCACGAGAAATAGCGTGCTCTTTTGAGAGAGGAAGCTGCCGGCATCGGCACGTGCCCCTACCACGTCGAGGTGCTGGCACCTTTGTCGACGGCGTCTAATTGCGTTGTGGACAGTTGCGGATGACGCCGCTAAAATGCCCTTCAACCATCTGCGGTTTTTGTGAAATTTTACTTTTTTTTCAGGTATATCCTCTTTTTCGTAATGTTATAATGCCTTTTATGTTATAGATGATGCTAATTTCATGTGACCTTTAGGAGTGGGGCCACCCCAGGGAGCGCTCACCTGTTAACTTCGTGCAGGTCATGGCTTCATTTTACTTCCATTGTATTATTCTGAGCGTACACCGTGAGAGGTAGGTCCTTTTGTTCGACTTTTGTATTAAGAGTTAGCGATTGTCTCTTAGGTGAATTAAGCCGCGATTAAATCTCGAATTTCTTACGATTTGTTGAAACTCGGATTAGCTTATGGATGCCGTAGAAACGGAAGGATTGCATATGTTGTGCAGTGTTGTCTCACTAGAGAAAGACATACGGTATACACTTAACTTCCTCTCACTAGAGAAAGACATGGTATACACCCAACTTCCATCTGCTGCGAGATCATATGCTTCAATCGAAATTCGCAAGAGAGCGCCAATCTTGTTCAGAGCACCTTATATTCCTCATACTTTCTCCCCAGCTGTTTTATCAAAGAGAAAGTATCGACTTTCTCTTTGTTTCTACTGTTGTTTTTGCATCACTTATATCAAACGACTACGTACCTACTCTACAAGCCCTAAAAACGCTTTCCTTTTGATCTTCTGTGTCTCTGTGGTAATGCTCCATGCTTATTCCAACTGTTTTTTCCATTTCGCAAGATATGGTAACTTGATCATGTTAATTTCAAGCAGATTTTTATGTTTTCACTATTTTCCAGTTATTTTTTATCTAGTCTTTTCTTCGATAACGGATATAGCCTCAGAACGTTGTACTTTCAGTGATTTGGAATATGAGCTTGATTTAACGGCTAGATTGTGTTTTATATTTCAATTTACATGTAATTTGTTTTCTGTTGCTTCCCCCCCCCCCCCCCGAAGATTCCAGGTATTTTTATCTTGTGTACTACATGTCTCACCATTTGTAATTTCTCTTCTTTAGTTCGGTTTTTGAGAAGATGATGACAAAAGCTGACTGCCATATCTGCAGAAAAGGTCCATTTTTTTGGAGAAACCTGTATGCTCATTTACGTTCGCATCATGGTTGCTCCGAAGATGTGATCGCTGATGTGAAGAAAGCAGTGAAAAGAGGGGAAAACACCGGAAAAGAAGAGCTTACCTTGTGACCTGTGATCTGCGGACTCATCTTCTTCACTTCGAACGGTCTGAACAAACACCGAAAGGTAGATCCTTGTCTATTGACTACATTCATTACATTCATGGTTTTTTTCTATTCGCTTTCACTTTTGTAGAACGAGCACGTAAGTGAAGAAATGAGTTCGTCAACATCAGAAGCTGAACGATTTGGGAAGTCCGTGACTTGCCTAGGATGTCCGCATTCCGTTATCATGTGGTGGCAAGCCACTGCAGAGAACATCACAGCAAGATTGATGCCAGACAAGATGTAATAGAAAACACATCTCAATCCTGGAATGACTTTGAGGCTGGCGAATGTCTTTGTCATTCATGTGTATGAGCACTTTTTTTTTGTAGATATGGAAGACCGAGAAAGAGTTTGGAACATACACAAGACTTGTAAGAAGAACAGCTAGGCGATAAGCGCACGACATTAATTACAACTTCATATGTCAGCATGCGCGAAGAAGCAAGGAAGTGTTATATATCCACAAGAGCAAAAAGACCGATACAGAGGATCAAAAAAAGTTCACAAACACTGTCCAAGCTTTGCTTAGGTAAATCTCACAATGGCACAGTGCATGTTACTGCCTATTGTGGACTATCTCGGTCATGAAATCAACGTGTCTAGTTTCCGCATGTCCGTGGAGGACGAAGAGATCATGAAAACCATGATTAGTCGGGAGTTCCTTATTGAACCGTTCATTCTTCTGCTTCGACTGTCTTCTTCTGCTTCATTTACCGTTTACCGTTTTCTACTTTCTTCCGATTTATCAAAGATCATTACAAAACTGCGTACCGAACAATGGGTAGCGGGAAAAAATGCTCAACTGCAATCTAGACCGAGAAAGAGTTTGGAACATACACAAGACTTGTAAGAAGAACAGCTAGGCGATAAGCGCACGACATTAATTACAACTTCATATGTCAGCATGCGCGAAGAAGCAAGGAAGTGTTATATATCCACAAGAGCAAAAAGACCGATACAGAGGATCAAAAAAAGTTCACAAACACTGTCCAAGCTTTGCTTAGGTAAATCTCACAATGGCACAGTGCATCATCATCAGGGGAGACATTTCGTAAGTGTTTGAAAATGAATTTCCATATATGTTCAAACCAGCTCATGCCTATAGAAACATTACGATTTGGAACGGCTCATTGATGGCAGAACCAGTGATGACTATCGCACTTCCCTAAGAACACTACTCGAAGACGATCGGATGATAGCTACTTGAAATTCATTGATACAACAGATCCCACGGGAGACGGTTATGTACTAGATTGGTAACAAGGCATTTTAATTGCCGATGTGAAAGTTTTGCGGCGCTCTGTCTGTGGTCAGTCCGCGAGCTGCCGCCGAAGTTGGCAACTTTCCGCGATGTGTGCCAATTGCAGGCATCTATGATGCCAGGTAGGGTAGATTACAACCGGCCCAGCAGTTGTCCGGCAAGAAATCCGGCCCACAAGCTTTCTATTTGAGTAGCGGAGTGCTCCTTAAGGCCTAAGGCATACTACGCGCGACTCCGATTCGGCACAACAGCAACTCTTCGTAATTCGTCGTTAATGCGCTGCCTTTGGTCGGAACTTGCTCCGTTTGCAACAGCTTACACAAGCTACCCAATTATGCGTCCGAGAAGCGCTCACGATAAATTTGTAGAAATTTGGCAAATCGCCAAGTCGCGTGAAAGTAGCGATTCGGCCGAATCGCGTGAGGTATGCCTTAGGCCTAACGTTGTGCGATTTGTTGGAGAGCTTTACCGTGATAGACTCAAATTTTTATTATGCATACTTTAGTAATGGTCTCCTCATAAGACAAAAATCGTGAAAATAGATTCCTAAAGCACCGAATCAACTAAGAGTTTGTAAGAGAAGTAAACTGAAATCTAAAATAACACAGATCACACTCGGTTGAAAAAATACAATTTAACATTTGTTAAAACAAATAAAGTCTTGAGATTTTGATGTGAAAGATGGAGGCTGGCAAGTGTTATCGTCACAACAGTAAAAAACAAACAAAATGCATGCTTAAAAGCATAATTCTATATATATGAACAGAAATACATTTTAGGAGAAATAGGCCCGGAGGCGCAGTTCTACCGCCGTGCCCGCCATTCCCAATCTTCAGGCAAATCACCTCGTTTGGCTACGCTGTTTGGATCTGAATTTTTTGAGTTTTGGTGGAAATTTTAAGAAATTTCGAAAATTTGAGTGGGCTCACCTCTCATTTCGTGTTGGCAAGTTGGCCCCAAATATCCTGGGGCGCAAGTACACCGGCCTGTTTTTCGATCACAAGTAGCGCCATTGTAGCACTGGCACTTGTGCTGGCAGTTTTCTCCGTATCGTCCTTGCCGACACACTTAACAAAAAGTTTACCCATAGTTCTTTGGGAGAAAACTTCTAATTTTACCTTGTTGACATTTGGGACCACTGAGGCCTACCGGGCATAGACAAGTCCCATCTCGAGGATCGCATGGGTAATTACCACAATCGCACTTTAGGTGGCAGTGAGGACCGTAGGTGGAGTTCTTGCAAGATGTCTCACACTGCAAAAAGATTCACGAATTTCTATTTTCCTAATGGACCATCCGTGCTTCCTATAGATCTGAATCTGAACCCATATTACTATTTTCTACTATATCACGTTGCGAGCAGGCTCGGAAAAAAAAATTAAAATTCGTAAATTTTTCAATTGCTTTTGGATAATGTGCTTGTCACTCAATTTTTCGGTAGTGGAAGTAAGAAGTGGCGACAAAGAAATCCTCGAGTAAATACTGATTTTTACTTGCGTGCGCGCATGCGGGGCGTTCTGGCGGGAAGAAGCGAGTCAAGCTGGGCACGGATTCGTGCGAAACTATAGACGTGCCCCAAAAAAATAAACCTTACATGATCACCCTCAAATCCAGGAGGACATAGGCACTGGCCATCTCCAGGCTCACAAGAGGCACCATTCTGGCAGGAACATGACTGGCTACAATACCAGCCATAGAAACCAACAGGACAAACAAACTGGCATCTAGTTCCATAGCGACCAGGCGGGCAGTCACAACATCCTTGGACTGGGTCACATCTGAGAAACAAAAGTTGGATTCCCAACACTGGTAAAGGGATGGAAGGGTAAACCACGAATTACCTTGCACTTCCATGACATTCACAGTCCAAAGTACAGTTCAGACCATACTTTCCAGACGGACAGCTTTGTTCGCATGTAGTTCCCATGTAGCCGAGATTACACCTTAAAGTATGCAGCTTTGAATATGATATTGATCCCGAAAATGGGTCGAGAAGTTTCGAAGGTTACTTACAAGAGTTGTAAAAGTATGCAAATGATTTCTTTATACTTCTAGATGATGGGAATAAGTGTTAAAATTTCGTAAGAATTTAGTTTAGCTTCGAAAAATTTCTGGTCTTTTAAGATTTCGAGGTCATATGCTCGCAAAAAATTTGGGCCCTAGGGCCGCTACTGAGGCATATGTATGAAAGATAATTCGGCCCAGATCTTACTTGCACTCTCCAGTTGCTGGATCGCAGTGGGCACCATTGGCACATCGGCACTTGTCCTTACAACCGGGACCCCATCGACCTTCGGGACAGACTAAAATCGTGAGCGTAAAATTTCGGGAATCTCAGAACTGCAGTAAACGCTATCAGCAAAAGCTCACCTTGGTTACAAGTGAGTCCTGTGAATCCTGGAGCACACCTGCATTGTCCAGACAATCGGTCACATGTGCCACCATTTTCGCACGAGCAAATCTTTTCGCAGCTGTAAAGAAACTTTTTGATTTGTTTATAAGTGGAATATGACGTCGGTAACTATTGAGTGAAAAAAGTTGTGGTTATGTTTCACGCAATCGTTGTCATTTAGAAAGTATTCTTGTCCAGTACCTCAAAAGCTGAAGTTCCAATACTCAGGCTTTGGTAAAAAAAACCAATATAGAATTTGGTTGACATATATTGGAGATTTATACTTATCTTTTGCGGTAGCACTTTTCATAACGTTACGGTAGGTGCACAGATGAGGATAATAACGCTGCGTTCCCAAAACTTTGTCTGGAAGTTCTAAGTAGCGCGCTGACTAAGACTGAACAACCCTACTGTATAACCTGTGGCAACTTCTCGGTCTATCATAAGCCTACCGTATGCTTACCGTAACCTAAGACACAAATGTTGCCATCATAAAAGGGAAGCTTTGGGACCAGTACGATAAATGACGTGTGGACTATGGAAGTGAGATTTGCATCGGAGAACGTAGTGAAGTATTTAAGACCTTCTGAATAACCAACTTTTCTCCGTATCGTCCCTGCGGACATGGTGTGTCACATTTTGTGCCAATAAAACCCGGTGGACAAATGCAAGCTCCGGTCTCCTTGTCGCACACTGCTCCATTCGCACACTCGCACAGCTCCGAACAGTCGGTACCGAAACGTCCCTGGACGCAACCTGAAGCAAATCTAACTAAATGAGTTGTGACATTCCAAAATCCAAATAAAACTGACCACTTTTGCAGTCTTCGCCAAAATAACCGAGTTTACAGTAACATTTTCCAGTGATTGGATCGCATTCAGAATTGTCATTGCATACACATTTCTTCTTGCATCCTTCTCCATAAGTTCCTTCCGGGCAAAGCTAAAGGAAAAATTTGTTATGGAAACTCATGTTCGTTCTCACTTGGGGTGTAGAATTTTGTGCACTTTCACAAGAAAGTGGATTTCTAAGAATACCTAATTTGTACTTTAGATTTAATATGATTATGACATTTTTTCAGCATATAATGTTCAAGCTTCAAAATTTGGTCGCGTAATAATTTCAGTATTTTCCAACTCTAAGCATTATAGATCAATTGGTCTGGGATTGCGAATAGTCTATATGGCCAAAATGCAGTCGATAATATGCAGACACGGTCTATCCTAATCGCAGTGTCGGGTGAGCTCAGAAGCCTCGGCCTTGCGCCGCGTTCATTCGTTCTGGTCTTCCTATGTCTGGGCATGGGAAAGAGCTCAAGATCAAGGGTCGATCGAAAATTAGGCTTGGGAAAACGGTCAAAGAGCACATTTGCGAGAGCAGTGCAAGCTCAAGCAAGGTGGTTCGCAGGACCCGAGCCGCTTGTGCACCCGAGACTGAGACAGTCTGTATGTGGAAATGTAAATGGTTATTCTTACCTCTGTGCATCCATGACCAGTGTAGCCTTTGGGACATTGACATTTTCCGGTTATGTGATCACATGGCTTATGGTTGGAGCAGCGACATGTTTGGGAGCAGTGACGTCCAAAGTAGCCTTTTAGACAGGCTAAATCAATTATTTGTAGGTTTTTTCCAAGCCAGAGGAGCTCTTACTTACGTCTATTGCATTTGCGCCCTCGCCATCCAGCTTGACAAGAGCAGTGACCACTGACTGGGTCACACATAGCTCCATTCTCACATTCACAAACTTCTTCGCAATTTGCACCGAAGTGGCCAGACGGACAGGGAAGTTCACATCTAAATAAATCACAAAATCAGATTTTATATCGATTTAAGGATGTTGGATTTTGAGTTCTCATGCTCTATTTTCGAGGCACATAGTCAGAAATTGTAGAAACCGAACCCGGGCAGGGTAAAATTTCGTAAGGATGGCTAAGTAAGAACTGGGATTCGCATTTTAGATTTCAAGAATATTTTGACTTGCGAAAAATTTTCAGACTTTTTCGGCGACCATAATTGTACACCGAGCTACGGTACCTAACAGCTTTCGATCGATATATCGATTTTTAGGCTGGATAATGAGCAACATGATCTTGGTTTTCTTTCGGACAAGAAACATTCTTTTTTTAATGAAATCAGCGATTTTTTTTTTGAGATCTCCTCATACAACGCACAACATCCTCTTTTTTTTGCTGGGTCTTAGTAAAGATGACATTCCTGAAGACAGCATCCACCCAGATCTTCGTCTTCCATATTTTGCCATACTGGGTCCTTTCCGTGGCTCTGATTACAGACATGAAGAGCAAAATGTGCAAAACCCACAAAAAACCGATTTAAAGGAGCGTTATAAGCGCAAAGCGACCTCCAGTACTTTTGTGGGCGGAGCTTGATAGGGGCGTGGCTTTATAGCACTTTCGTGGGTTCCAGGTTCATTTATTTCGTTTAGAGGCCACATTAGAGGACCGGACCAACGCAGATATCCTACTCTTAGGGCCTTGTTGTAAACTTAGTACTATTAGGGGGAGCACAAATTTTGCCTAGACTGCTTTCAAAATTCTGTGTCGTACCTTTCTCCTCTCCATCCAGGTAAGCATTCACATTGTCCTGTAGTTCTGTTGCAGTTTGCACCATTCATGCAATCACATCGTAGCTCACAGTTCAGTCCATATTGTCCGAATGGGCACACTAGAACAGACTAAATTGCATTTACAGGCATTTTTAAGTCATTATTGAACTTACAAAACTCGCAAGCCGGTCCAGTCCATCCAGCAGCGCAGGTACAATCTCCAGTTTTTGAATTGCAACTACCGTCATGCATACACAGACAATGGTGGATGCAATTGGCTCCCCAAAGACTTGGTGGGCATTCTGAACATCAACTCTTTTTGTAACGGAGAGAAAAAGTTGTTTGTCGAGATCTCAGATAAAAAAGTCCAGGTTTTCAAAATCTTTGTCAAGTAACCTTTATCTCGAAAATTGTTTTATGTTGTTAAGGTTTAGTTTAAAATTAGTCTAATACCTGTTTCGCAGTTCTTTCCCATAAAACCAGCCGGACAATCACAGAATCCAGTAAGACGATCGCAAGTTGCCCCATTTGAGCACTCACATTCGCTACTACAGCCAGAACCCCATCTGAAGTTCGATATTTCATAAATTTGGAACAGAAACAAGAACATTTTCCGCTACTGTAAAAATCAGGCGGATTGAATTTTTGCATAGCTCAGACAGTTCACCGGAACCTCCGGAGGACAAGTAAAATTTGCAGCGATTCCGCAAAATTTTGTTTACTATTACAAAAGAGGAATCCTAAAAATGGGATTCCGCAGGATTTTCACGTTAGGCTGGTTGAAAACAGGAACTTCCGCAGGATTTTTTAGAACTCCGCGGAAATTCGGAAATTCCAAAAATTGCTAATGGCTCCGCGCGACTTTGACCTGCCAGTACTTCCGCAGGTTTTCAAATGTGTTCTTACGCTCAACCACGAAAGAAGAGGCAAAAATAAAAAAATGAAGAAGAATAAAGGAATTAGAGGAGTGCACAGAAGAACGAGATAGTACCGTAAGTATGTTATATTTTGAAAGAGACGGCCTTACCTCCCTGCTGGGCATGGAGTCCCGCAATCCGGGCCAGTCCACCCTGGTGGGCAACGACATTCACCTGTTACATGGTCACATCTAGCTACGAATGGGTTGTAGAGTGTGGTGTCATCTGGAATTCACAAACTTGGCAGACTTCCAGAATTCTATAGACTCAAATTAGTTCTCACTTGATGTGGCACAGTCACATATGAAGCGGCACTCCTCGCCATAGCGTCCATCTGGGCAAGGCCGGTCACATCTTAAAGAGTTATTTTGCTCATTTTTATTCGAGAAAATGATAGGAATTGGTCAGTCACCTTTTCCCACGCCATCCTGGAGTGCATTTACAAGCTCCGGTAACACCATCACATGACCCACCATTGGCGCAAGCGCAAATGCCGCGACAGCCTGCGCCAAAATGGCCGACCTCACATTCTGAAATAGTAATTTCTACTCTTCAAATTTTCTCAATTATCTGCTTATCTGATGTCTAAAAAATTTTTCATGCTGATCTAGATTAAAACTCCTTCTTCACGCCTCATTTGCATAAAAAATACTGAAGTTTACCTTGGTCACATTTGGCACCTCTTTTTCCTGGAGGACAGATACATTCGCCATCTGAAGGGTCACAATGCATACCGTTGGCACAATCACAACGTTTTAAACAGTCCTAAATATTCAAATGCTATCAAGAAAAAGAGTTTTTTTTCTTTCCAACCTTTCCATGAAAACCTTGCTCGCATGGCTTTTCACAATGTTCACCCATCCAACCTGGTCGGCATTCACATTTACCATCTGATGGGCTGCAGATTGCGCCGTTTTGACAATCGCACAGCTTCATGCAGTCCGTACCGTATCTACCAGATGGGCAGACTCAAATATTTTAGCTAGGTTGCAAGTACGTAAACTCGAGACTGTTTGCCATACCTTCACTACAGCTCGCTCCGTAGAATCCAGGAGGACAGATACATGAACCATCTTTGGCATTACATTCGGCACCATTCTGGCATGCACATTCAAATGCGCAGTTTGGACCATACAAGCCAGGAGGACAGGCTAGAAAAGTTCGCTTGACGGAAACAGAAGGTTACTTGACACTCTCCGCAATTTATAGTATACCCAGCTGACAAAGGAGATACTTAAGTACCCATTTACAGATAGAGAAACAAGTATTGGACAAATTTTTGCCAAGTTTTTTTTTCTCAAAATATAAACCAAAAATTTGATTTCAATAGAGAAGAAATTAATTTGAGTTAAGTTGAATGATCTTTCACCAAGTTTGAGAGAAGAATTTCAGGTCGAACTTTCAAAATGAAATGAAGTACTTAGCTAATAATTGTGCTTTTAGACTTTCAAGTTTAAAAGGTTGCTGATTTTTGGCTAAAAACAGACGTACTATCATAATCTGCAACACCCACTGCTCTCTAGTAAATAATAAGCATGGTTGGGAATAACTTCACAGAAAAATTTGTGCAGAAGTTGCCTTTGAATTCGAATTGTTCAGATTTTTCGTTCATATGCACCATTGTCGCTACAAGACTCTCATACTGTAATTAAAAGCTACTCCAAGACGAAGGCGGTTGCCCATGTACGCGAGGCGTTCGCGTGCGTACGAGCTCCAATGATGAAAGATGCTCAAACGCGCCGGTCGCAGCCGCTTCGCGTAGTAAACCGACCGCCTTCGTCATGGAAGAGCTTTTACCTGTGCTACTAAATAACGAATGCCCCACCCTTGTAACTATAACTGAATTTCGGTGCAAATCTACAATATGGGTGTCACTCACGCGTATCGCACATCACTCCAGTGAGTCCAGGAAGGCATGAACAAGTGCCAGTGACGTGATGGCATGCTTTCGGTTGTCCTGGTTCCGAACAAGCACACCGTTGTTCACAATCGTAACCGAATGTTCCAGGTAAACATACTAGAACATAAACGAACAGTGCGACACTATGGCTGGTATCCACTAGGGACCCGCCAGTACACAATCTATGAAATTGAATAGACTAATCACAGAACAAGTGGAGTGGGTAGGTGAGACAGAAAGTCAGAAGAAACTCTATTTTTCTAAACTATATAACTATTCTAATTTCCAATAATATGCAAATGTGCTGTGACCAAACCACTAGTGGGGTGCCAGAAAGTGTACCCTGGGTAGACTTAATCAGAAAGCATGTACCTACCTTTGTCGCAGCGCTCCCCCATATATCCAGGAGGACATTTTTTATTACAATCTCCTGTAACTGGATCACACCGTAATCCATCTGTGCACTGGCATTTTTTGGCACAACTTGGCCCATAGAATCCGATGGGACACCGCCTTTTGCATAATGGTCCGTAAAATCCAGCGCGGCAAATGCATTTTCCGGTCTGTAAGAAAATTAAGTTTACTGTGAAAAAGAGGCAATTCTAGTCTTGTGCAAAATTATAAAAATAAAAACTGCTACAGAACAGTTCACTGATCACGATGGACCCCCTGAACCGGTAAAATAAAAATTTTTTATACTTTTTTGCCACCGTATGAAGCTCAGTATTGATTCCTTTTATTTTCAGAGGCTTAATGTTGCTGTTATATGGTAAAGAGAAGAGGGTTGTTTGCAATATATAATCAATGACATAGATCAAACAAAGATCGGTAAGTAAATAAAAAACTTACTTTACTATCACACCCTTCGCTATTTTCACGAGAACATTTACAAGTATGTCTACAGTTTCTTCCAAAAACAAAACTGGGGCAAGGCCTGAAAACATTATATTTTATAGCTTGATAAAATTCATATGAGACTTTTATAAAAGTTCAATAAAAGTTTTACTTGTCGCAATTTTCTCCATATAGCCCCTCTTCACAGGTACAATACCCATATACGGGATCACATCGTCCATCCGGGCATTGCATGCGACATTGTAGCTCACACATAGGTCCATAGAATCCTAAACAATTGATTTCCGGTACACTTCTTCTTTTCAAATAATGTACTCAAAAAGGGTCGGTTACAAGGTTCTATGAAAAAAATTTTACCTGGCGGGCATGGTCCCAGAGGGCATTCTTCTGTAGAAGTACAACGGCAACTACCTGTCACCGGGTCGCAGCTCTTTCCATCACATCCGCAAATCTACAGAAAGCATTTTTTTAATAATTCTGTTTCAGAAGGAAGGGGTGGGAGGAGGAACTACCTGATTGCAGCCTGCTCCCCATCTACCATCCGGGCACATATCGTCGCAGATATCACCCGTCCAACCCGGTAAACAGTCACAGGTGGAGTTATCATGGGAGCAAACACCTAAACAATTCTATTCAGTTCTATCATAAGAAGCATATCCCTATTTCTTAACTTTGACCATCTATGCTAGGGAAAATGTTTTCTCCACAATCTATTAATTGCGCTTTTCTCACGTTCTAATTTTACCATTACTACATTTTGAAAGCTGCACAAATTTAACGAACTATAGATTTGAACTTTATATTATATATAATTTTCTTCCTTCACACAAAACACAAATTATAAATGGAGTGAAGTAAAAGGACCGAAGCTTATTTCAATCGGTAGCTTTTTGGAAAGAAACTTTCTCAATTCTTCTCTTACCTCCATTCTTGCAGTCATTGCATGTGTATTGACAGTGTGGACCGAATTCCCCTGGTGGACAAGCTAAAATATAGAAAAATAAAGTAACGAGGAATGAAGTTAGGAAGATCTGTTAGTTCTTTCTTCTAAGCATCAAATATTAAAAACACGTGCAAACACACGATCTACTCATCTCAGCTAATGCTAAGCTAACACGAAGCACACAGAAATGCAATACCGCCCAATATATTTTGCAAAAAAAATTTACGCGAGATTTTGTCTGTGATGGAAGATTTTACCTTTTACTAATCGTACTGAAGAATTCATGTATTTACGGTCGAAAAAGATTTAAGCCCAGCTTTACGGGACAAATTCGTGTAAATCATCCTATTACTGTAATTCGCTAGGATAGGAATAGGGTATATGATCTATTGCCACATTTGCCGCGAAATTTGGGCAGTTTCGAAAACAAATGTGCAACTTACAGTGTATCTACTGCAGTAGTACGATATATCTCAAAAACCTTTCGTCAAGCATTGAGTATCCTTTCCGAAACTTCTTTTTTTGCGAAACAAGGGCGGCGATGTACAAATAGCACATAAAAGACATCACAATCTACCTTTACGCAATCGACTGAAGGAGAAACTATAGGGAGAGACAGGACGTTGCACTCCATCTCCAGGATAGTTCTCTATATTATCAATTAGGCGATCCAGTGTCAGACCGTCGATGTCGATGGTGTCATCCAATTGTTTTCGATGAGTAACGACGTCTGAAAACACAACACAACCACACATAGCTAAGCGAAAGCGAAAACATATGGGTAGGGCAACGTAAGCAAAGTCTGGGTAAACTTATGACTTCTACGGATAAATTGTTAGCGAGGGAATAACTTAGCAAGGGGTTTACCATATAATAAAGCAAAGTAAAAAATAGGAAACTAGCAAATGACAACAAATATTGGAGCCTTTTTAGAGTTGCTTTTATTTTTCTCTTACTATGCAAAATTTTTCGAGTTTCTTGTAGTAAAGTGATCCTGTTCGAAAGCTCCCGCTTCAACATCGCGACAGTTCAATCGTCCAAATTTGTACATTCAAGGAGATAAATTCTCGCTCTATACGAGTTTTATAGAATTATCAAATTCTACTGGTCAATTATCGAGCTTTATGATGGCAGTCATTGGAGAAATCGCAAACTGCTAGATAATCAAAATAATCTTTTCTTTCAGCAAATCGGAGCTGGGCGAAACTTCTGCAAGTTTAGGGGACAATTTTTGAAACTGCAGAATTTTGATCACTGGAAAGATGTAAGCAAAGACGTGAGTTTCGCAAAGAAAATTGGTCTTAAGATAGGTTTTCGACCATCCTGAATCATTTTCATCGAAAGTTAGCAAAGATTACGTAATTCTTTTTCATGAGAATCAAGAATATGTATTTTATAACGTGTTTTTTCACTGAATCCAAAAGTACAGCAAAACGTTCTATTTTACCGCTTTTATACAGCAAACGATCTCCAAAAACGATTCTTAACAAATATCATCTCTGAAAAAGGGGTCATTTTGCTATAACCACACAAGCTACTTTCAAACTGTACCATGCAAATAAAACCAAAAATTTGAAAGACTGAGATATCCACACAAACAAATAAAGCTACATGTAAAGCAAGATCACGCACTCTATTGTTAGTTCAATAAGGGGTTTTATCACTTACGTGAAGCCATAATAGGTAGAGAGGCAGACAAGGCGGCTAAAACTGTAGAATATAGGAATAGACATAAATAAATTGAGGAACAAATAATTGAGTTATGGTTAAGATAACTGGTCAAGATAAACAATATTAGAATTCTATCCTTCTCTTAAATCTTGAAAACAATAAAAGTATGTTTCAAAGTAATTCAAAATTAGTTTTTCCATCCGGCTTGATTTTTATAGTGTACCAAGAAAAGGTCCTAGATGCAAAAATTTCCAACGGGCAGGATTCTGAGGCATATACACAGTTTTTTGATGATACTTACCCATGCAAGTTTTCCCATCCTTTCCCAGGATATATCCTCCAAAACACTCGCAATGTCTACCGCCTTCATCATTGCGACATAACTGACTACAGCCTCCATTATTAACGAGACATTCGTTAACATCTGAAAAATTGTGATTTTTCCTTGGGTTGAGTTTGTGCAAGAGGCTTACCGTAGCAGGAGTGACCATCTTCAGCTAAGCGAAAACCTTCTTCACAGGCACATTCGTAACTTCCAGGGGTGTTGGTGCACATGTGCTGACATCCACCATTATTGGCAACGCATTCATTGATATCTACAATGGGTAATCTGCAGATATTCTTGAAAACACGGAATATTAGCAGAAATCAAAGATAAGTTTGGAGGAGAAGGAGGAGGAGGAAAAAAGTTGAACGATGTAGGCCCGTAGTAAAGCTTGGTCAGGAGAAATGATCTCCCCTGAGGCCCTTAGGTGGGTTTCCGTCAGGTAAAATGACGGCATGACAACCGCCCACTTTCCCATGCTATAAGAATGCAACTTCACCTGACATGTGAGCTTCAGGTCAGGTTTGGCAGGGAGATCATCTCCCTGCCGAGTCATCGGAGGTGATCCGAGCGATGATCTCCCGAAATAGTGTGCTAATGAGGAAGTTTATAGAATATTTCCGTAAGTTACTCCTGAGTAACTTACAATAGACGTTAGTTTAACATGTCGAACAGACTGAGTGAGGAGCCACAGTGCAGGTTGCAGATCTTTATAAGATCTAACAAGTGCGGCCACATCCCTTCCGCTAGTACCAGTCACAAAGATGTGAATATTTGGCGAACGGGTTTTGACTTGTATACTTGCATGAACGTGGCTACTCAATCATATCAATGTGGATGGTGGAACCAATCAATGACTCAACTGAGGCAGGCTAACTGTCGAAGCTTCAACTGAAGCTTTCCTCAGTTGAGATCGAATGAGGCAGCTTTACTACGGGCCATAGAGTTTCCGCCCAAAATTTTCCTGAGTTTTCATGCACGCTAGTAAAACCGAGCGATGTAGTCTATGAAATTCGTTCAAAATTCTACCCTGTGAGAAGCGCTTTTTTTGCCAACTTTTTCGTTTCAGTCTTCAGATTTTCGTTAGCTGTGGTAATGCTCAAACAAACCTTCGCATGTCCTTCTGTCGTAAGTCATAATGTAGCCCGTTTTGCACTGACACTCGAAAGATCCGGGTAGATTGATGCAAAGTTGAGAACATCCACCATTACCTACGGAACACTCGTTGATATCTGAAAGTGCAGGTATTAAATTCACATTTCTCTTTATGAAGAGAACTTCTCTACTGTGCGGTGACTATAGTGAAAACAACTAGGGGTGTTTCAATATGTGGAAAAAGGCAATGTCTAATCACTTTCTGCCTTTCTCCTAGTGGAAATACCAACTAAGAACTTTGTGGTTGTGGTTTACGTTATAAGAGCTTAGAAAAATTTTATGACTAGATTCGCAATCCTTATGAGTGAGGATGATTCAGTATTTGTTCGAAAATGCTTTTGCAAAAATGCTAAAAATTGCGCAAGTCTTGAGCATAGTCTGATTTTGAGTTTTGCACATAATTGTGCAAAATCCTCTTTGATGTCTTAAATAGAGCGTTGACTATATCAGGAACTCCGGGAAGCGCCCTAAAATATTACAGTGGACAAGGCTGTTTCATACAGAAGTTCCTCGGAAGTTTGGAAAACCTGATTTCCTCCGTATATTATGCAGGCCAGAAATTTTTTTCATAAAATGTGTTTGATTTAGAAATATATAGGCTTCACAAAAAATTGAGGGGAAGCACTGTGAAGTGAAACTCAGTGAACTACTACTCTATACTGTGCTTCTAAAATCTACCATCTGTTCCCAAGTGAATCAGTGCATGTGTCTCTAGATCGTGACGTGCTGAACAACGTCGAACACCCAGCATTCAGCGCTAACCCTGGCATGAATGCCGATCAACTTCATTGAGCAAGTAGCCAGCATTACAGAAGCACTGAATCTCATTCGAACGATAGTCCATACAAAGGCGATGGCAAGCGCCTTGATTGAATAGGCACGACATAAGTTCGTATGAGTCGGACAGCACTGATCTCGCTTGGAGCGAGTTCTTAGGGTCTGAAGTTTGATTAAGAAACACTTGTAGTGTCTATAGGGGTTTTTTAGATATATTTGTAAGTTTGAAAATTTTTTTGGTTATTCACAGCTTCTCAAAAACGATTCTTCCTACTTCCTTCTTAGAAACCCTACCTCTGCAACTCATTCCATCCTCGGCTAAATCATATCCATCCCTGCATTTACACACATGTCCTCCATTAGGCTGATCGTAACAGTCATGCTGACATCCACCATTAGCGATTTGGCATCCAGAAAGTTGTTCATCACATGAACGACCATCTTCGGCTAAGGTGAAGCCGGGGCGGCATCGGCATCTGGAGAACGGAACTGTTTTACAGGAATACTAAATTTCTTAGCGCAGCAAGAAAAGGGAAGTCTTTGACTGTGATCCCTCAGGTTTTCCTTTATTTCTGATATTCAGCAAGATTATGCATGTGAAATCAGATGTATCTATGAAAATTATCGGATTTGAACTTATTTTTATCCTATACAGGCTTCAGGGACAGAAAGTCAAAGAGAGTCAAAAGTATACCACTTTTTCACCAACAATTGCTTTGTGTAATTGCACCATTCGCTATCTGCAGAAGAGCAGAATGGCATTGGAGTTAATGTTATTTTCGAAAAAACAACATGAAAACAAAATACGACCGCTCAAAGAGAGAAAAGGGTCTCGTCTTTTCGAATGTGCAATAGTTGGTGCAAATAATTAGTTCAATCACATCTAACTACTAGAACGAGGACTTGTGTGCATCGAGCAGATGGACTCTTTCAAAGGTTGAGTTAAGCATTTTTGGAAAAGAAGCCTCACCTGTATGATCCGAAGGTATTGACACATTCGTGCTGACATCCTCCGCCTTTCTGTAGATAACATTCGTCGATGTCTGAATTCGTCATACTCGAGTGAAAAAATTCAGAACTTAGGCATTTGTGAAAAACCTAGTGGTCTTGCTTGCTTTTGAAGGGAATAAGAAACTGTTCTCCATAACTCATTGAGGGAAATGAGTGTAGAACGAGAATAGAAAAGGTTATAGTAAGTTTTGCCCGAATTTCGTTTTTTAAAGTGAAGAATCAATAGATTTTCCGAAACTCTTGGGATCCAACCGTTCAAACTTCGTATTAGAATGGGAATAGAATTATTACATGATCGGTATCTCTTGTCAGTGTTGTTAGTGAAAAGAAAAAAAAGTTCACGTATGCAGTACACTGATTTGAACAAGCTCTTCTTCCAAATTTAGTGCCTGAATTTTTGAAAGTGCAAGTTTATCTCAAAGTTTAATCGAGCATTTTTGCAGTCACAGGATGACTCAAGATATTTTGATGCAGAGGGAAAGACACACAATTTGATACCAAAGCTCACAATATGCCATTTTTTCTGGGTCATAAGTGCCCACTAGGCTCACTCAGTTTCTAGAATTACATCGTTACTGAAATGTTCTAAAGTCTACCCTGGCGTTTTCGATAAACCAATGAACTTTGAAAGTCTTACTTAATCTATATAAAAGTAAAGATCATCTTACCAATGCATGTCTTCCTGTCGTAAGCTAGTCTATAACCAGCGAAGCATTGACATCTTGCTCTACCGTTTTCATTCACACAGTGATGTTGGCAGCCACCCTTCTTGTCCAAGCATGGGTCGATTGCTGAAAAAAAATTTTCTTGATGTACATTAAATAAAGTTTCGCAATTCTAATTACGAGTAACTGCATGCATTTGCTAGATTTAATTCATTCGCTTTTCAGCATTCTCTAGAGCAAATCGTGCCTAACAGGATAAGGGCAAGAAAAGAATGACTTTTTATTAGAAGAATTATATCCTTGCATTACAAAACTAGTAATTTTGAAATAAACTCGTACTACAAGAAGAGCCCGAAATTTTTCCAAATGACATATGCTTCATACGCTCTCTGTAAATAATGATGTACAGCTACTCTACAAACATTTTACCTCGCTCGTGGAACAGGAATTTTTTACCAAAACTCTTTCTTTTTGGTCGTTCATATTTTTTCGAGCACTAGTTTTCATAACGGCTATTGTTTTCTAACATCTGCTCATAAGCGCTTTCTCTCTCAGTCCCCCTCCCCCTCCCTTCCCCCCCCCCCCTCCCGTGAAAGGTTAGTTGGGTTGCTGTGGAGAGGGCACAAGGGCATTGTTCAACGTCAACGGTGATTTGCATTCATAAGCACTGTTAATTACAACTGAGAACAGACGACATATGCTCAAGAGGCACATAATAGAGTTAACGGCGGCTGTACTAACACGCCTTCTGGATGTTCGGGTAAAAAAATAGAATTGTTTAGAAGAAAAACTGGCCGTAAAAGAATGGTTAGCATAGCAATTATTTCTGACTGCTACTTTTGCTTACTACTCGTGAGAAACGGAACAAATTATTGGACAAAATCTGGAAACTCACGGTGACATTTCTTCTTGTCATCTCCTAGTCGATAGCCGTGCTTACATTTACATCGATAGAATTTTCCGTGCCTTTCTTCGCAAATATGGTCGCATCCGCCATTGTCAGCAGCACAAGTGTTCGAGTCTATAAGTAGTTGTATCAAAAAAATGTGATTGACATCACAGACAGTGGAACATTTTCATTTTCTTTTTTTTTCAATGAAAGCTTTAAAATTAAATACAATTTTTGTACTGTAGTACTATATCTTGACTGAACGAGTCAATAATAACGATTTCATATGACTTCAAAGCGACTCATTACGGTATGGGGGGGGGGGGTACGGTGGGACTTTCGATGATGTAGAGAGTGTCTCAAAAATTGTATCAATGTATCACTGAGTAGCTTTCTCATATCTTTAGATACCATTTTAGCCTTCTACAGAACAGACCTTACATCATTTTTATTACTGTAGATTACGCTACAAACTTTCATCACAATGTCAGAATTGCAATTATGCAGCCTGAAATCCAGAAACGTTCCAAAACGTCTGAAAATTTTTATGGTGGAATTTTGAGAGGCGTATTGTTTTTGTTTGCAAATCATTTGCAAACATGGTGGCATGAAAAAATTTTTTTTATAGTTATTGGAGAAACGCTGCCACGATATATATGTTATCACTGTTAAGTAGAAAAAAAATATATACTTCTTGAATCAATGTATTGTGAATCAAACAGCCCACACATGAATCAACAAAGCTAATGGTAACAAAGTTTTCAGCTCTCTAATTTTTTTGGGACGTATAGTCCTATTATCGCAAAATTCTTCTGAAATTCTTGTCGTAAACTTACATCCATGAAAACAGCTTGGGGATTCGTTTTTAATGCAAATTCAAGAAGAAGCCAGTTCTATAATAGTTCCTGAAGATCCGTAAAAGCTGAAGAAACACGCGAGTTATTAGCGATCAAACGTTCAGTACTTTTTGGAGATTCTTTAAGCATCATGATTCCAAAAATGACAAAGATTTTCGCTCATATTCTTAATTCTTCAAGAAAAAAATTTGGCAGAAGCAAAAAAATTAAAATAAAAAAGCTGATGGTGGGATTGCAGTACGGGGGTGAGATTCGCAATCGTGGTCTTCCTTTGTACAATGTTTGTCAATTCACTTCACGTCGAAAATTTTCTTTCCTTCTTCTCTTTCCTTCACCTTCCCCAATCTCCATCAGAATTACACTCTCCTAAAGTCAAGCACTTTGCTAACAGCAGGTTTGAGCGGGTGTGACTAATGCTTTGAATCACAGCAAAATAGCTACATCAAAGCCCGTGAGTGATTTGTCTGCTGTTAAGCAATGAAGGTTCTAAAGTCACACCTATACCAGAAAATCTCGTTCCTACATCGAAAATGAACATCCATCTAGCTTCGACAAAAACTAAAGCAACTAGATCTTTTCAATTTCATCTAGTCAGAATTCCACGCAGTGGATCACGTTCTATAGATTGAAAGAGAGATCTTTTCTATAAAAAGTGTAATGGGGTAAGGGATATCGAAACATGTAACGACGAAGCAGCCGTGGGAGCGAAGGTAGGAAACCGACTCTTTAGCCTTCCGCAAGAAATCCCTAATTCTCTCATGAGCATCTCCCTGTTCGGCAAAGCTCCTCATGCGTCTAAAGACCACTTGGCCTTTTTATGGTCACCTCCAACAGATATCTTCCAATGTTGCCAATAAGGGCTCAAAAGTGCTTGTACTTGTTTGTTCTTAAGATTTTTCTCGAGTTACCATCCACTTCAAAGTGCGTATTGCTCAAGCCTCGGGTCAAGCACACTTCGCACAAATCCGGGCAATTTGGGCAAACAAACTGGTATGACGGGTAAGACGGGTAAGGAGTGGGTACCATACCGAACCGTTGTGTTAGTAAAAGAAGAAAGACATGTACGAAACAAGTACTAGTGTCCGTAGTCACGGATCTTACACTATTGCGTGCCTATCGAATGACTCACCAACACATTTTCTGCCTCCGGAGTTGATTTGCATTCCAGGAGGGCATTCGCAACGATGACCACCTGGCGAGTTCACACAACGATGTGAACAACCACCATTTGAGATCGCACATTCGTCAATATCTGGAATGCGGAACTTTCTAGAAAAAGTGAAATAAGAGGTCCTTAGTTTTACAGGAAAATATCGCGACTTGCGGCCGCCTTAAGCGCATTTAGCAGTAAAGCCGGTCCGAAGTCGCGCCCTGACCTGCAGTGCTTCAGCGCCAAAATAAAGGATGTATGCTTTGTTTCGGTGACTGTTCTATGGATATCCTCTCAAAAACAGATCTAATTGAAATAAAACTGAAGTTCACCTTTACAAGTTTTCCCATTTTCTTCCAATTCGAATCCAGCCCAACATCGACAGTAGAAAGTTCCTATCGTATTTACACAGTCGTGATGACATCCACCGTTGTCCGCAACGCATTCGTTGATATCTGAAAATTAGTTTTCTAAATAGTTTTTTTGGGACTGTCATCGGTACGGGTTATGGGTTGTAGCTTTCAATAATAATCTCAGAGTTCAAAATGCTCTAAAGCAATTTATGAAGAGAAATTCAGCTTACATGTCGTTATTGAAAAGAATATTTGTAGAAGAAGTCCCACTTCTATTGTTATGCTCATTCGCATGACTTTCAACGCAATACAAGTTCTACATTCCACTTCCTGAGAATTTCTTGAGTCCTTTGCTAACTTAGGGCTTTCCTCCATTTGGGTGGATTGCGAAAGGTTTCATTTACCAAAATGATTCTTCCATTGTTTTCCTTTTTCTAATTCGGAAAGTTTTGCAACACACTGAGTTTTCCTAAGCTTTGATGTTTTTGTAAAAATCAATATACAAATCTGGGTATGCCACTTGAAAAAAACTGTCATAAATTCAATAGCCAGTGTTCTTGATTTGTTACAAAGGTAGTCACAACTTACCGTACTGACACTTCGCTCCGGTAAATCCTGGAGCACAATGACAGATGTCTTCAGTACCATTTTGGAATGGGATGCAAGTGCCGCCATTGTGGCAGAGATCCGAAGTGCAGTTGGCTAGAAAAAAGCGAAAAATTATGGTTGTCATTTTCTTCTCTTCGTCTGCAAAGCTGAACATATGCGGCGTAGATGTGTGCAAAAGGATGTCCGCTACTGGATGAAAATAACAGGTATTTACTCTATAAAGCAGAAAATAACAGGTATTTACTCTATAAAGCAAGTGCTAAACGCAGTTAAAGAATTCGTAATGGTCCGAAAAAATGTCATTCCCGTTTTGGAGTTCTTTTTTCTTTATACATCAACGATTTCCTCAATTATTTTGAGCTATAGTTCGGCAAAAATATCCCCACTGCTTTGCCGTCCTAACAATTCTTGATTTACCGAATTTTGATTCCCCTCCCCGCTCCCTAACAGGAGCCAAGCTTCGAGGTTACGCGACTCGTGTGTCAATTGCGAACGCAAACATATACACTCGCTCTTCTGACATGGTTCCCCGTATTATTGGCGCTCATTGACAATACCTCTCCAATTTCCGGGTGTGCAGAGCTGAGACAAGCAGCTCGGATGACCTCTAATTCCTTTTGGGAGCTGTCACTCCACTGCCGATATAGGAAGGGTGGTAAGGAGCCAGAAAGGCATTTTTCCGCGGTTGTAAAAAGCGGTCTGCAAAAAGGAGTAACTCTCCTCCCAGGGATTAATTTTGGTCCCATTCCACTCTGCCCAAATCCGCAAAGGATCTCGTAAAGAAGATGAGTAAATGGTCCTTGCGTGACTGACCTACACTTACGATCACGTTTTTGTGCGGCACACATATAATGAACGGCAAGAAGATCATAACGTAAGAAAGGATCCCGCGCAGAGAAAGGGACTTCTCAAAGGTGCCGACTGGCTCTTTACGACCTGCATGCATGACATATGATTCGGTAGTTACGATTCACACCCATCCTTACTGGTTCCGACAAAGTGAATGACAAATGACTTGGACAGTAGTGAGAGTTTGCAAGAGATTCAGGCGAAATTTTAGCACTTCCCGAAAGATGAAGCTCTTATGATTAGGAAACGAAAAGTTTCAGATTTTGAAAGATCAAAAAGGATATCGTCTGCTTTTACAATGCCTGTGATTTAGTAAACACAAGCATTGGATATTTACAATCATACGTAGTGCACCAGGAAAAGGAAAAGAAAAGCAAACTCGAATAAATACGTGTTCAGTAGTCGGAATATATTATACATGAATAAATAGTCGGTTTGCTAATTTTTTTCACTAATGATAACATACTCTTCCCTTCTGTGCTTTCACCACTATTTCCAAAGATGATTTTTATCTGAATGCAGATATTTTCTTCCCAGAAAAGATTGCTAGGAATATTTACGTCTAACATGCAAATGAAGAATAACAGGAAATACAGAAATTTACCGGAATTGTCTTTTGCTTTCCATCTTACCCATTTTTGCGATAATTCACTGCTTTTTTCCACAATATCATCATGTGAATTGTTAGCTTTGTGCTGTTATTACAAATCATGCTTAATTTTATGATCTGCTGGACCTCGCTTCATTCAGAAAAACTTGTGGTATACTGTAATAGCGAATATTCTGTTGTTCAGATTTAAGTAAGAATGTTACATGTGCTCGTAGCTGTTCTTTGTCAATGATGCGACAACTTTTTCAGACAACACAATATAATCAGAATCCAGTTCCTTGACAATCAAATATTCACAATCTTGAGATTAGAATATTTTTCGTTATTTAATTTGATTTTTATTCATCTATTTTTCATTTTTTTTTGCTATCGTAGCGATCAGAGGTAACGCTTATATCGCCATAAATCCCTTTTCGCACAAAACACCATAAAATTCTCGAAAACTCTAAAGGGTTTTTAATAAAAGAATAAAAGAAAAGCAAAATCTAGTCATCAGATTAGTAAAACTTTCAAACTTTTTCTTCCCTTCGGCATCAATCACTTGTTTCCGAAAAAGAAAACACATAACACAATTTCCCGTTACATGCAAGGTACAAGAACAATAAACAAGGCACTGACCGATTTTCACTTCATTGAGCAAAAGGGACTAGTGATGGTTGCGTTATGAGGATGAGAGGCTCTTAAAAACTTTGATTTGTTTTTTCACAGTTTCTTGTCTCCAGAAACTTGCAATAAATCTCATTTTCCTCTACTTCATTTTATTATGCTCAGTCGTTTCAGTCATGTTAGCGCTCAATTTATATAAAAAGCAGTTTTTTCTGGTAAAGCTCAGTTCTCCTTCGTATCTGACCAAATCTTCAAGTCAACGTCATAAACTTGAAGCAGGTTTTCGTCAAAAAAATTATTTACTCGCAAAATAACCAATACTTGACGCGATCCCAAACATACGGTATTTGTTTTCCTTTTGCTTGTTATAAATTTCTAATACAAAACATATCTGTTATTCATGAAGATTTTTGCCTTTTTTTGATCGCCCCTCGGATATGTAATACTGATTAACAATTCCAGATCTCTCATGCCTGATCATCCGTCCAGTGCTCGCTGGCTAAATTTCATTGTTCCCTGGTCTTGACCAGAAGTCCGCTCTCACGTATGCAGCGATAATTGTCTATTTGTCCATGCTCAAAGCGACTACGAGGTTATGAATGATAGATGCTCTGCCACAAAGTACGCCATGACTCCTATTGTTACCGTAATCCCTTGGTGTGACACACACTATACAAAGCGCGCTCCAGGTCAACAGGTGTTCTGTGCCTAATGTTGTTTTATGTGGTAGTGAAAAGATAAAATGACAGGTAAACAAACACGCGATACTCTAAACGGGGTTTAAGGCCCTTAACGACCTTTTTAAGGCATCCTACTGTAGCGAACCCAGATATAGGTAAGGCAGCCAAGCTTACCACGCTGGCAACCATCCATTCCAGGGACGTGAACCCATCCTGGGCAACATTCAGCTACCGTATGCCGTCGCGTTCGATTGACCTTCTTGTAGGTGTGGAAGTAGATTGTCCTGAAGATAAATGAATTTCGAAGTATTTACGATTTTTTTGAGAACCAATGTTCCAAACTAGTGAATTCAGAAAATATCACTATTTCTGAGGCGCTACCATAGGGAATTCAGGGTATTTATTTGAGCTGCAGCGCAAATGTACTCGAAAAAGTTTTTTGTGTTGTTGATAGTTTCAGCAAAAAAAAACAGAGAAATTTTCTACTTTGGTAGAACTTGATTGCCCGAATTATCCATCATCAATGATCAAACTCAAAAGTATCCAGGTAAAATTCCCTCCGAAAATTTTACGGTGAGTTCTCTAGACGAGATTTTCTATAGAAGGAGTTTTTTTCTTTTTTATTTCTAATGTGTTATAAATGTTGCAATCGAAGTTGTTCCTAGAAATGAAAAATCAGGAAAATTTGAAGATCCAAAACAAGATTGTTTGCAAGATTTAAGCAGTGATAAACTGGTAAAATTTATTTACCAACAAATTTTCGCTCTCCTCTATAAATTCAGGAATCATGGGTTCGTCAAAAATTGCAAAGCATCCCAAAAATAGGCGGGGTTCATATCAAGCTCACATTTGAGAAAGGTCCCCCGCCCCTTCGAAGAAGATTTCATGGTCCGCTATTGATGGTTTGTATAACCTTTGTCACTTTTGTAGCAAACGCCAAAAATGGTTAGTTTAGTCGGTTTCATTTTCATTTTGATGTTTATCCATAGACTCAAATTTATGACCATTTTCAATTTCCTCGCTTTTTCATGCCCCGCCCTAGAAAAAAGTTCCCACCCCAGTGACGCCACTGTGACCTCGGCGGTCCCATGGATCACTAGGTAAGACCGTTGATGGAGTCCGTTAATTATAAGGTGCTAAACGTGACGTAACCGATTCACTGACACCAAAGGTCACGAGTGGACGAGTTTTTGAGGCGCGCTCAAGTGGACGTATAATTACGCTAACAGCTAGGTTCAGACTATGAGTTCAGCAGTAATTAATGGGTCAAAGAACCGTTCGTAAGCAGGCTTGTTGATGGATAACCTGGTAGGTGAAGGTCAAAATTAAAAATTGAAAAAAAAAACCTTCTGTTGATGGCAGTGGAGATATGCGTAACAGCTAGGAGATATCTAAACAAAGACTTACTTTGGTTCCCGAACGGAACAGCTTCGGAATAGTCCATTACATCCGGGTTTCCTCGTTCGAACATATTTTGTGTATCGTTCTACACATGGCTGTTTAACAGTGACAATCTCGACTTCTTCATGTGGACAAACGTTCCTTCTGAAAGCAATTGTGGTACTGTAGGCATACTGTAGCGATGCTGTATCCACTCAGCTTCCAATTCAATGACTAATAATTTTTGACTAGTTCCCTTTATTCATTTATTTCAGTCATGTTATTATTCTAAATTATGACTAAATTTTCAAATTTTCACTATTTCTTTTCCAATTTCTCCCCCTCCTTCAACCTCTACTTACGGACAAAAGTTCCTTCTGATGGTGGTACTGTAAGAATACGGTAGCGATACTGTATCAATTAGGGAGTTTTCCTATCAGTTATGGATGTAATATCATCAATTATCATCATCGTATTCTTTATATTATTTTTTATAATACGTAATTTTGAATTTGAATTTCAGTATTCTATTTTCAGTCATTTTTTTCATTGCAATCATCACACATTTGAAATTTCGCCCCCTCCCCTCCTACCCAGCAAATTGCCCCAGTGCCCAATTAACCCCCTAATCCTTTGTCCCAACCCCGAATTACTCCTCCTTACCCTTGCTTCTCACACAAAACTTGCGCAACGGTGTATTACAGATAAGATATCAAAGGTTCCCCTGTACATCAATAGGTCATTACGGCATTGCGGAACACCGTCCACGGGAACCATTAACAATTTAACGATGTTGCTCCCGTAAATGAATGTTGCTACCAAAACAAGATAATGAAGATATGGGAAATGATTAGTGGGGTTTATGCGACCGGTAGCAGGAAATCTCGTTAACTCCTGCTACTGTTTTCTTATGTTAGCTGCAAAATTCCTTCAAAGTTCGTAGTCAAAGCGAGTTGAAAAAATGTGTAACTAAGGGATTTTTTTCGTCGCCTACTTTTCCCTGATGTGAGGAATAAAATCGAACACCCACATCTTAAAAGAAGTCCTCTTAATGTTACTTATTGAAGCAGTTCTTGTGGATGATTTTTTATCAACATTCGTGGTTTTTTAATATTTATAATCTTGTGCACAACCAAAAGCAAAAGTAGCGGTTGATCGATGAAAGTAGAAATCAACAAAAATGATTGAATGAATGAAGCAAAACCTCTGCAGTCTCTGCAACATGACTCTCAAACATTCACACCAAGTGTGATCCACAAAAAATTTGAATCCGAAAGCTAAATAGAACCTGACCAAACAATTGAAAAAACCAAATCTTCGTCCAGAAGAAATGGTCGCTTGGGCTCTAGTTTATGAATAGACTTATGGTACAACCTAACAGATAAGAAATAAATAAGTAAAGAGTGAGTGAATGAATGGATAATGGAGTAAGTCAACGAATGAACGAATGAAAGGATGGATGAATGAATAATTTTGTGAATGAGTTTATAACTGTGATAGATTGACTGGATGATTAAGTGAATAGAACAAATAGAAATGAAGGAATGATGACTGAGCGAAAAAATGAAATGAACGAATGGTCATTGCTCAAAGAGGAATTATAAACAATTGTGTGTAAACGTGTCGTTTCAAGAGCTGTAGACAAGAATTTTGTCTTTTTATTTTTATGAATGAAAAATAAAACCAATCAAAGAATGGATAGTCATGAAAATATATAAAAAAACGTGGAAAAAAGGCTGTAGAAATAAGAAATGATGTCTATCTGCTTTAATCTTTATCAATATTTTGAGTTTTTCATTTATTATTTAAGATTATTCTTTATTTTCATCGTCTATTCTAGGATTCCGCCATCCCTATAGTAATTATTCCATACATTTACTGCAATGTCCTTCATCCACACATCTAATCCCTATCGAGAAGATCTGCGCATCCTCACACCATTCCACTTGACTTCACTCCTTGTGGTTCATTACCTCCACCCTTTTATCTTTGTTAATTGCACTAACACCTCGCTGAGATACTAGTGCATATTGCGCAACCATATAGACTCGGACAACTGTTCCAAATTCCCTCATTGTGACTTTGTGGGTCCATAGAAGGCTCTCAACTCCGGAAAGTGTTTATGGCGGGCAATCAAAGCTTTGATTCACTTGTTGGTCTAGGGGGTCGTAAATTGATTAAACATTGCGTATGATAGACGCGGATGGGGGGGGGGAGGGTGAATAGGAGTGATATATGGTATGAAAACAAAGCAAAGTAAGTCGAGTAGTTTGTGATTCCATTTGTGACCCCATTTGTGAATTTGCAGACCGCACGCACTACCCTACGACTCCTTGTCCGGCAATTACCGTAGCCGTTTTACTGAATTTGCGATTGATAAGTAATGAGTTACATCTGTACTTAACTAATTTTCTCAACGACCTGCACTCTAGAAGGAGAAAAAAAGAAGACTGTATAGATTGACAGCTTGCAAGCGCACAAGTCGTAAGATGCCGCGCATGATGTGCAGTCACACATTAAGAACCAAATAGCTCGGCTGGAAGTGGTAAAAAAGCTTAACCCATGTGGTGTGGTTCCTCTTGGGTGGCAAAACTACACGTTGGAAATTCTTTTTTTTTGTTGCATAGCTACAGTACACTACCGTAATCGCTCCAAAGCTATGTAGGATTCAAAATTTTTCGGTTTTTTTTCCGGAGTTTGCCTTATATGTCTTTGAAGCACCAAACCGCAACATTCTGATCGTTTATCAAATGTGTAGAATCTTTGCGTAAAACCCATTTGAGTGATGTTCAATGGCTCTACGTAGAGGATTACATGTGAGCCACAAAACCAGCGCAAGAATGAAAAACCAAAGCACACAACCGTAGACTTAACACCACAATGATAAAGTACCCAGCTCGAACACATTTTTTTCGTCCTGGGAAATCCGTGTACTCCTCGTTTTTTCTACCCCTCGTAGGCCTAAGATATGAGGAGGAAATGCCTGAGTATGATATGGGCGTAGATTACAACAAAGACGTTGCACTTGGTTCTTGTCTAGAGAGCCTGAATATGAATCACACATAGCACTGATGCGATGATTAATCGCGGAGCTTTTAGCTCGTGCGCTTGTAAGCATAGGCTATTTTTTGTGCTAAAGACGTTTCCTTATTTAGCAAAATGTTGCAAAGGGGATTTGGTTGCAAAGGGCTAAATGGATGGAATAGGTTGAGGGATTTGGGTACGAAGGGTAAGGCTTCTAGCTTCGGCAAGAATGTTCTAATTGACGTTTGAATACGCTTTCAAAAAGTGCTATGAGAAATTATTTAGTGGTAAAAGGCTATTTTTAAGAATTGTAAAAAATTTTGTATTTGGAAATAACATCAATACTTTCCCCACTCACTCATAATTGATAAATTATTGACGGAAATCCTTTTGACCTTTTGATGTGCTTATCGAAGGTTCAAATCCATGTAGAAACTATATTTTTTTTGAAAAATTTTTTCAACATCTAAAATCTGGACGAAGGATTGTTTAGACCCGTGATTGAAGATGTACTGGCATGCGTCGTCTCCTTTATTACGATTTTTCTTTTCCCATGCCTCTAAGAATTAGTGGAACCAATGGAACCGTTACGAGTAATTGAATAATTGAATTATCAAATCATTGAATAATAATTCAAAATTGGCCAAATACAACTGAAGATTATAAACGGTTTTTCAAAAGATTTTTGACGAGATAAACGACATTTTCAGTTTTTAACAGTTCTGCTAATTTTTGTATACATCAAAATTGGAACCTTTACTTAGGGAGAATGGAATGAACTAGGAGCATGATAATTTCTGATATTATTTCTTGCGAGATTTTCTATTCTTAACAATCTGCCGATTTGTAATTTGGCTCCCTGCCAATCCCCAACGGATCACCCCTATCCCCAAACGAAAGAAAGCCGTCGGATTACGAGAATCTAAGGAGTGTCAAGATGTCCATGCAGTTGCAGCACTTCGTCATCTTTTTGCCTCACACACACGTACACACCATAAGGCGTAAGCCTAATCCATCATTATGTACTCCGGTCGCGATCGAGACCGGAGATAAAAGCGCGCTCCACGGGTGACAGAAGCAGCCGCAAATCTGTTCGCGCGCGATGTATAGTTTCTGGAATGACATGCTATTCATGGAAAACTAAGAAACAGGAAAAATTTAAAAATAAGGGTTTTCTTTCTTCTATTTTTTGAATTTGAAAGTTCTTATTAGAGATTATTATCAGTTTCGACAAGTCCAAAAATAATTTCTGGTGAAAGTGATTGAGAAATACAAAAGATCTACAACACAACAAATTTTTGTGTTTTCATTTTATTCACAAGTTTTGTGAAAAAAAGGGATGAACTTCGCAAACAAAACATAACGGTTCCAGTCTGACTTCAATTTTCAAACACTTACGAAAAAGGATTACGGTAGATTATAAATGGTTTTGTGCACTTTTACGTTTTTGTGTGAAAATAGCAATAAAGGCGTACAAACGGCTATTTACGTTCATTGCTCTGACAAACTGTTACCTGTAACTAACTTGAACTCCCATTAGCCTCCCCCTTCATGGCCTACTCGAACCCCCCCCCCCCCCACCCCTACTCACTACTTACCAATCTCGTGATAACTCACGATACCAAACTTGCGCTACTTCAAAGGCTTCAGAATTACCTGAAGAAGAGAGACAAATTTCTTCGAAAAAAGGTTCAGCAACTTTTCAAACCTTATAAAACCGCTCCCTACAAAATCTATTGCTACCCACCCCGACGAAAATGGTCACGGTTCGGGTAGATTTATGACATTTTGGCGAGGTGAATGGCGTGAAATAAGAAACTACAATGGGTCATAAATCTCATGAGAGCGTTATCTGCACAAGTAGAGCGGAGATTTTTTCAAAGATGATAAGCCATCGAAACATCTGAGTTCTTGGCACAATTTCAAAAGTGTTTGGAATTTCAGCCTTGGCAGTGTTGCGGAAAATTTTATTCCGGGGGGGGGGGGGGGGGAGGGGAAAAGATTTTTTAAAACGGCATACGTAGGCAAGATATGCTCTTGAACTATGCTTGCCGATTTTTGGCTGAACAAGAGGTCAGCACATAGAAGCGCAGGTCTGGAGAGAACACGTTTTTCTTGTCTCTAGGGCAAAGATTGTGATTTGGAGCGCGCTTTCTATGCCTTGCTCAAATGGTTTTGCCTATTCTGCCTCTTTGCGTATAAATTACTATATGGAAAGATATAAGGCGCCCTATAGATTCATGCGCAGGTGAAATTTTGCTTTTTCCTTTTAGTATTGTGTTCCATTACACCATCCATCATCTACCTCACACGCAATGCTAACACCACACCTGTTACCAAATCCATCACCAGATTAACTCCCCGGAGTTTGATAGCGATCATAATCCACCTCTTACCCGCATACCGTAACCTACTCAGGCCATCAACCAAAACCCAAAACACCTGTCGCCAGCACTGATCCTAAGTAATCATTCCAGAGCACCTGAATGTGGCATCGTCATCTGTTTGGGTCTCCCCTATTCCCACAGTTTCTCGATGACTAATGCAATGTATGCAGATTGATTGCCTCACATTATGTTCGACGGGGTTGATACGTTAGGTACACAGGAAGGTGCAGAATTGCACCAATGAACAAATAGGAAACGCGTGCTGAGTGGTTCTCGTATGGGGGTATGGGTTTAGGTTGAGACCTCCTTGCCTGGGGATCTTGCCTGGGGATTTTGATGGAAGCTGGAAGTCCCGAGCTTCCCGAGCTCAGAGGGAGGGGATAAAAGAGGGATAAAGGAATTCGAAAGTGGTGATTGATGTTAGCATGGTGCATTGTTGGTCTGATTGATGACCACGTACGGCGCGGATTACGATGCCTACGATCTGCCGTTATGATTAACGATTTCACGCCATTTCACAAAGCGTTCCCCTTTCAAGGACTTGCTCGAGTTTTTTCAAAAATTCGAGTGAGAAGTGAGTGTGAAGCAAGAATGACCAGGCGCTGTTTAGTGCTTTAGATTTTCTGAACTTTGCGCATAAATTGGATCTGCGATGGAAAGACCTCAAATTTAGTTTTTTTTACCACATACTACATACTCCATTTTCAGTCCAAGGAAGATTAATCGGAAAGCTTTTTAAAGCCTTTTCTTTCAATAAACAACAATTATTGTGGTAGAAAGAGGTGCAATCCAAGAATTCCAAAAACTTTCACAGTAGAAAATTCCACTCCAAAGACATGCTCATTTACCGTGGTCATAAGGTAGAAATTTTCATTTTCCTCGAATTTCACTAATCAGAACCCTTTTCACTCCATATTTGAAAACATTTCTTTCTACTTCTGTCACAGTAAGGAAGCCGCTTTGTATTCTTTCTCCCCTAAAGCTCTCCCGTTCAATATGATTGTTTTGGGTAGCGAAGTAGCTGACCCCTCAGACCCTCAGAATGTACCCAAATAAGCGCGAAACAACACGGACAAAGGCTAATCGTTCTGTTCAGGAACTCGGCAGCAGCGTTTACGTAATTTCGCAGTTTAGTTTACATGAGTAGACGTTGAAGAAAACATTGCTTTGCGAAAGCGAGAAAAAAATGTTAGTACGTACATTACGAGACTAATACTCTTGAAAAGAAACGGCCAAAAGGTCAGAACATAAAATGATATATCCTAACCTCGTATTCAGTAATGATAAGACAAACAAATTTACAACTGTTATTTTTTACAAGATTTTTCCCCCAAGTAATTCTGGGGGTTGTGAGGGAATTATGTAATTTCTTGCTCATATTCAGAGCATATTGTCTATCAATTTTGAATAATTCAATAAGTTAGACATTAATAAATGCTCCTGAAAAGGAGAAGCACTTCCCTAAACAGTAGTTTTTTATGGCTGTGATTTGGAATGAAAATAATATGTTATTATTAATAAGACCTTGCCAATAGTTTTGGAAAAATAACGTTTGTAATTTTTGTTATGACATCATTTCTTAGGTACGCAGAAGTACTGCGCTATCTTCATGCGATTTTTTTTCGCAATTTTGCACTTCAATGACCGTCGGCTGCGGGAAGTCAACTCAGACAATCCACCGGAACTTCCGCAGGACAAGCAGAATTTGCAGGGGTTCCGTAGCGTTTTCCTAACCACTGAGAAAGTGCACGCTCCAGAGTGCAGGGTTTCCGCTGGAAATTGAAGATAATGCTGCGAAAGTGCTGCGGAAATTTCGGTCAGATGTGTGAGAAAAAGAGTTTTCAACTTGTAAGCGTAATAGAGTTAATTTAAATGGAAAAGCTAGCGTATTTTTATGCGCAAATGTCTTGGCAATAAACTTCAATGCTGAAGGCCCTCGGTCGAGTTGTGGTTGCGAAGCAAATTCTTCATAAAACTTTCGTTAAAAAGTTGTAGACGTGAATCCGATTCTGGCCTATTTTCTTTTTTTATCCTTTTCCCTGTGTTTCTATCACTCTTCAAGATAGATGAGACAAAACCAACTTTCTCCACCTGTTCTCCACGAGACCTCGTCTCAGCTCTTTCACCACGACCACAATTTGTGCAAATTGTGCCACACGCAAGGCTGCCAACTGACTCGTGCACAGCACAAAAAGATCTAATTCATCGTCAAAAGGTCAAATCGGAGAACATTTTGTGAAGCCCATCGTCGGCCCCGAGAAAATCAGAAGTAGACGATGCGATAATTCACCGCCAGGATATATGGCTTTCTTCAATTTGTCCGATGAATTTTGCGCCAAAGCGTTTGATGAGCCGGTTGGGAGAACTTTTGCTCCCAAAGTTATATACGAGACAATGGGGATATGCGGTAATTTGTCAAGGTTAATGAGGACACACGGAAGAGTGAAGCGGTTGCAGATGACGCAGAAATTTCAAGGATTTATTGGTTGCTCCAATGCTAATGAGGGGTTGATTGGTGGGCCGTAGAAAAAATCGGGTTTTTCTTAACTAGTACGTTTTACTCGCCCTCGCTGATTGCTTCCGGAGACGTAGACATTAGCAAAAACTTTGAAATTTCCGCTAATAAGAACTTCGTACAAAAATAGACAAAGTGAAAAAATGGTGAAAAAACTTTTGCAGCTTGGATAACGATGCCACCGTTGTAAATGGCAGTAGTTTTGAATATTTTGGCTTTATCACTGCTTGATTTTCCAACCCCTTTTACTTTTTGTTCCAAATTATTAAAAAAGGGCTTCAATGGATCAAGAGAAAAGATATAAAAATTAGATCCAAAATGTGAAAGAAACAACAAAGAGGAGATTGATGTTGAGAATTCAAAACTATGAGAAGAACTACGCTTAAATCCGTCAAGAAAACTTGCCGTATGGAATATTCGAGCAGAAATTTTACTCGTGATCTGTTTCCTTAATTAACATTCGAGCTCATGGGATTGGATTTACTTATCATCAAATTGTTGGCGTCCAAATAAATTCTCCATATCTCAAGAAACTATGTTATTCAACTAGTTTTGTGTATAAACTATGCCTCCACTCGTTGCTTACCTTGTTAGAGTACATAGCTCTCAACACAACAAAGGACCCATGACTCTTGCTCTACACAAGTATTTCGAAATTTAGGTACAAGTGTGTTCCTGGCAACCAGCCAAAGATATATGCTCCACTTTTGATCGAGGAGCTTGTAAAGGAGAAGAGACGTTTCTCAAAGCGAATCTAGCTGGATTTTTGAAATATGGCGACAATGTTTATGTCTTGATAAGTTAGTGACCAGAAAAATGACAAAAATTTAGAATAGCCTTCGCTTGAAAAGCATTGATAAAAAATTGAAATGAGTCTCATAATTTGCAAAGCTTTGATAGACAGTAATGAAGTGTAGGGAGAAGTCAAATGTTATTTCTAGAACCAACCAAGACTCTTGCACAAGTTTCTTCTCATTGCGATCGCGGTGAAATCTAGCGCCTATTTGCTGCCAAATGATCCAAAAGTAATGAGCAACAGCTAGGTAATGTCACCGGTTCCATTTCTTACGGCATAATGGGGGAGTGAGTGTATAAAGCTCTTAATTACTTCAATCCTAGCATTTGGTTTTAGTTTCTTTACTCTAATGGATTTAATAGTAGAAACAATATAGTGGAAGTAAATCTCGACATTTTAGCCAGTTTGTTTTGTAACAAATTTGTAAAAAATGTGCTGAAATTTTCCTGCATGAGATAGTGGAAAGAAAAAAGGGAATTTGAAAAAGTTATACAACCTTGTAGTATATATTTTTTTACTTCGCTCTTTAGCCCTTCATCTTCCCCTACTTCAAATACTCTCAAAAGTAGATAGATAGGGGTAAAATGAGGTGCATAACGAGTTCCTTATTACTCTCCCATCCTGTCCGCCCTCATCTTCCTGAGCACCCCCCCCCCCCCGCAAGAATTACATAGAACTATCCCAGATCCATCGCCAGCATTAACTATGCCCCTAAAATGTCTTCTCCCTTCCTTTTCAGTTGCTCGTCATCGTGCATAAACTATGTATAGCAAGAGGCCCTTGTTTGACATTGTGTGTGTGAGTATGTGGATTTAGTCCTGAGTAAGGACCGGGCTATTGAGGCGAATTACCGGCCGTCGCATGCCGTTAGACCCCCTGTTGGGAAATGATTTCTATAGCCTCTCACGCAATATGTTCCAAGGTGGAACAAATCTGGTTCAACAAACATCATGAAAAGTGCAATTATTCGAAGGAAATTTTGCAGGAAAATTTGGAAATGTTCAGCTCATACAAATCACAAAATTTCACAAGCCCAACTCTTTCGAAGTTTCAAAAAATTGCAAAAATAGAATAGAACTTACTGTCCAAGCTTCAGCTCCTGTACCTCAACATCGACGATTTGTGGCAAGGCAACTCCCACAATGGCAGTGGCGAATACGAACGTTAATAAGTTCATTTTATTCAGAGAAGAACTCAGAACGTCAGAATATCGATTGATTGGGCATTACAATATCGATCGATTGTGTTCTAAATAAAATAAAAGTATCATAAAAGATTGTAAGCTGTGAGAATTCCGGAATGAGAATGGAAATAGCATGAGGTTAGAAAGCATAAATGTTGTGCCACGCCCAAATTCTGGGTACCTCATAGGCTTCCCTTTCCGTGGTTTTTGCAGGTGGGCGTGACCTAGTTAAAATTTTTTTTCTAATCGTCAATGCTGACAACAATCTTCGTTAAAGATACATGATTCATGAGCAAAAGCAAATTCAAATTCTAGAAGCAAACAAAACCGGTATCGACTAAGCAATGAGAGCAGATCATTTACATAGGATAGAGTTGAAACCGAAAATAGTCAATGAAATGCTTCCACTGTTAGAAATTCAAAAAAAATACAATTATTGAGATGGCAGAAACAAGTGAGATGATGCCATACACCTTGAGGAATGGCGACATCCATAAGATTCAGTTTGAACTACCTGTATTGCCTCTTTTTTCTACTTATATCTTTTTTTTGCGAAAAAATCTCGTAGAAGTGAAGAAATACTCTCCGGCTAATCTTTCAGACTGTAGCAAGTGCGTAAAAATGTGAGAAAAAGCAAGGGGATCATATGACAAGTATCGCTAAAGAACTGAACACTTCTAGTAGGAAAAAGGAGCTAATTGTAAGAGGAATTAGCTGAAAAAAAAACACAGAGCGAATACTTTTTCTTACTCTTTCCATCTGACCAATATTGGTGGTAAAAACTTGTTAGTAAACGTAGGGTCCAGAAAAAAATCATCAGAGGATAAAGTGAGCGCTACAATTTTTTCTACAATATATTTTCAACATTCTAGCCTCCCCCCCCCTGCTACTGAGGAGACCGGAAGGAGCCTAGATACTGAAAAACTCCGTCTAAATGAAGGGGCGGAACGGAGAATAGTGTAAGACTTTGATTCTCTTCTTAGTAGCCAAAAATTCATAATAGATTTAAAACTATTTTCATTCAGGAAGAATTGCTTTGGAGTGAAAAATCGTTGGTATACAAGAAAATCATCGAGGATTTTGCGATTCACCTAGACACCGACAAAATCTGCAATAGAACAAGTGTTTATGTTCCACAAACCAAAATTCATTTGTATTTTCTTACAAAATATAGAAGAACTCCAAAAATTATTCTGATAGAGCGATGCTTGTCCAAGCCCAAGTAGAGCGATATTTGTCCAAGTCCAAGTTCAACTCAAATTTGAAGGTCAGGTCTTGATCAAGAACCTTATCGAATTAACATAATCTCTCAGAAAATTAGTGACTAATATAACTAAGCACATTAAAAAGGCAGGATAAGAACAATTTCTCACAAGAAATAAACTGGACTGGAAAATTGGAAGAATATGACAGTTACTGAAAGGTAGTACATAGGGGGAGGGGGGCGGGGTGATTTTGCTAATTAAAATATTCTCTAATTTACACCTCTTCTATTAATTTATGTATCTATCACATCTGAGATGAGCACTAAGAATCAGCTAACATATCCTTTAGATATACCTTTTCGACTTTTGACAAAATCGTTGAAAAGTTTCTCTGCTAATTCATATCTTGAAATATAAAGCGGAGTATCGGAGTGTCAAAGAAAATAATTGACTGCCAGCCATGATAAAAACTTAGTGGCGAGGAAAATGACCAACAATAAATACAGTCAAAAAAGCGTGACTGCCCTTGACATCGTGGCATATAATAGGCTACACGTACGATACTACATCTGTCATAGCGGTGTTGGCAAAAGGCACAAAAAACCATCAAAGAATCTCTTGCGTAAAGAAGAGATGGACTGCAGTGCAAACATACAAAATTCTGAAAAAGAGCCGCGGAGGGGGAAAAGGAGGGCTTGGAAGAGAGGTTGTAAAAGGAGATCGCGACAAGTGGTCATGAATAAATTTCTGCCAGAAACTGATGCAAGTTGACAGTTTGACAACTTGACACATAACATATGACAGCTCTCTAGTTGACAAATGACAATAGTTGACAAACGTATTTACCCCTCCCCCCCCCTAGAGCCAAAATGTAAATAAATAACCTGCAGTAGTGAAATGCCAGCAGCCGGGTGCATGCACGCGGCATTGTCCGTTATGGCCCCGCCCACCCAGAGGGGTGACCCGCCCCTTTGAGATGACCACTATGGCGGGCTTGACACTCTTAGAATAGATTTAATTTGGCAAATTAGAATCGCAAGAGTGAGGAGTGATTAGCTTCGTACTTTGGAGTGCCGTACTAAGAAACTCTGGCAAGTTTATGGCAAGAGGCATCGTAAAAACGTAGAAAATTCAGAAAATGTGAAAGGATGTTTGTTTTATGCAGAAAATGGTTCTTTCCAGGACTAAAAGACTGGCGCAAGATATAGGGTCACCCGGATTGTAAAAATCTTATCTATACGGACCAGATCGCGCTGAATTACCCATATAAGGTCAGGCGGTTCATAGTCATTTACCACATTTACACAGTTATTGTGGGTAGAAACTAGGGTATTGTTATCATCAAAAATCCAATAAAGTTCACAGGTTTAGAAAAAGTCGTACAATCATGGGTAAATTTCGGACCAAATTTCATCGAAATCAAAAAAAAATCTATAGCTTTTTTTTTCAATAAATTGTGCTGCAGATAACAAATCTGAGCAAATGTTTGCTCAAAATAACCTTCTTTTCGGTGATCAAACAGAAAATCAGAATCTTGGTTTGAGATAATTTTTGCTTTAATTGTTGACCTTAAATGAGTGGTCATCCCTGAATTCGCTTTAAAAGGTTGCCTGGAAACACCTTAAACTTTCATTTTTCACAAAGTGAGCCAAACCGCGAAATATAAAAATCAAAAAATCAAATCAAATCTTTGATCCAAGAATTAATTAAAATTATGTGAAGTGATTTATAAAAAGGCACGCAAATGCAAAAATAGCAACTTGTCACAGTTCTTCACTTTCATGTTTTTCTAACTAGTCGAAAAAGCTATGACATGCGAGCGAATGGAATCTAACAAAAAGCAAATGCCAAGGAAGTTTCAGCACAAGTTCAGTTAGCAACAAAAAAATAGTTTCATTTTCCTTTGTGAAATGGCATATATTTTCAAGGTTGGTCGACCTTGAGAAGTTGGTAATTCATAGCAAACTTACGAGAATTGTAAACCACGTCCCAAGATTCTACGCTGAGAACTTGGCGATCAGCCAATTACACTGTGATGATCCAGCCATTTTTTTTCGCCTTCAACTTTTTTTCTGTACTTAATCAGTCAAAACGTCAACGGCGACAAGGCTCGTTTCAGATCGCCTATCAATCCGAATGCAAAAATTTGCATTTGCAGCTGTTCCATTGAACGAGTGAGACATCCTGAAACGAATAGCCGTCAGTGAGGATTTCGTTGCTGGTGATTTATTTCGTTGCCCATGTCTTCAGAGTGAATTGAATCGTCAGCGCAAAGAATTTTTTTGCTCGACCAAGGAAAAACCTCGTTGGAATAACTAGTCTAGAGTTACGAGAACTTCTCAAGACCCATTGTGATGATTTATGGGCGGGAAAATGAGAGGCTATAAAGTTACAGGTATCGCGTTTGACGTCATGTGATTGGTCACTGACGCAAAGAGAGTTCACATAAACTTCAGATAAAGTATAAATATACAGGGTGTTGCTAAAAATATACCTACTGTTTGATTGTCAGTAACTCTCTTGTAATGAGGTCTTTCGAAAAGCTTTAGGTACCATTTTGTAGAGCTGGCTTCAACTTAGATTAACAGTATAAAAAGAATCACCCACTTACTCTAGGATACGGTAGAAACTTCAAAAAGGGTTTTGAGCCATGAAAGGCCATATTTTGCCTCAGAAAGGAAACAAAACAGCCTAAAATCTTTTACCCTAGGACAATTAGAGTTGCCGATTTTGAATGTAAAGTTCCCAACTTATTATGATGCTTCATTGAAGATTTATACCAGGTAAGAGGAAGCGGCCATTTTTCAATGTTTCTATAAAGTGCGGTTACACCATTTAGAAAGCTTCACAATCTTGTAAATAGTTTAGTATTGAATTCAGCGTCCATAAAAACCCTATTGCACAAGTTCTCACATTTTTTTTGAAAATTTCTGATACGGCAGCTTTTCCACAGTGACACCATATGTGTCAAGTTTCTACCGTAATCCTACAGTAACGCAGAGCGCTCGGTGTTTCGCAAAAAAAATGGTACCTAATGCTTCTCTAAAAACTTCATTACAAGAGAGTTATTAACAATCAAACAGTAGATGCATTGTTTTGGGATACCCTGTATATAAATAAATGAAGTATTTTTTTGTATTTATTTTGAGTATTTTTTTTTCTGCGCGATTTTTTGAGATATTTTCAACGTAGGCATTTTTGAAGGAGGGGGTGGGGCAAGCCTCAAAACTTGAAGCGAGTCATGGCGCAAGTGACTTTTCTAATGTAGATAAACAAAGTATTTTTTTAGATTTCATAAAGAATTCTAGTGGCTCTCTCAAATTTTTTGGGGGTGCAAGTGATAGTGCACTTCTGAAATGTCAGATCCCATGTCTTCAGAAATTCAGAAAGCATCTCCAAAAATTTTTCGATGCTAGGGTGCCACTTTATCGGCAAAAAACTTTCGTCTGTCTCCGTTCCCCCCCCCCCTCTCTCCACCCTCTCCTAAAAATAGTCCCGAATTATTGGCACTTACATTCCCCAACAATTTTTTGGATTTACCTCATGTAAAAAATCATTACTCTTTTCTCTTCCATTCTAAATCTCAGGCAGAATTTAACTGACTCGTGCAAAAATTCCGTCAATTGTGAAATGTGGGGTGCAGTTACACCATACATTTTGAAGGAATTTTGAATGATTCTTTTTGCATATTGAAGATAGAATGAATATTTTTTATATTTATTTTACAGAAATCTACGCATATTCCTATTTCATATTTTTTTGTATTCAAATTTTTATTCTAAACCTTTA